AGAGAGAGAGAGAGAGAGAGAGAGAGAGAGAGAGAGAGAGAGAGAGAGAGAGAGAGAGAGAGAGAGAGAGAGAACGGTAAGGAGTGAAATCCGTGCTGAGGAGTAAGTGAAAAAGGGGAGATTAGTGGGGAAAGGAGATCAAGGAAGGGAAGATCAAAATTGTGAACAGAGTCTTGAATTGGGGTAAGGCTACTTTCACTGATCACAACGAGTCGAGCCTTGTTTGGGTTCGTTGTTACCTTTGTTGATCATTGTGAATAGAGTCTCGTTTTGTCTTGCTGCTACTCTTGCTGATCACTGTGAATAGATTGTATTGGCACACGGTTACTCTTGCTGATCGCTGAGAATGGAGCCTTGTCATGGTACGCAGATACTGCCGCCCCCCCCCTAGCGTCCCTGGGAGGGGACGTGACAGACTACACAAACCCTGCAAACCTATTGGACGCTGAGGACCTCAGAAGCGGGCGCGACGAGTGACAGGCGCCATTGCCCTTGGCTTCAGCGATCAGTAGGTAACCCCTCCCCGGGTTTCCTCACAACGTTACAAGTGGGCGCAGGTTTGGGTTACTAGTGGGCGCGGGTTTGGGTTACTAGTGGGTGTGCGTTTGGATTACTAGTGGGCATGGGTTTGGGTTACTAGTGGGCGTGGGTTTGGGTTACTAGTGGGCGTGGGTTTGGGTTACTAGTAGGCGTGGATTTGGGTTACTACTGGGAGTGGGTTTGGGTTACTAGTGGACATGGGTTTGATTTACTAGTGGGCGTGGGTTTGGGTTACCAATGGGCGTGGGTTTGGGTTACTAGTGGGCGTGGGTTCGGGTTACTAGTGGGCGTGGGTTTGGGTTACTAGTGGGCGTGGGTTTGGGTTACCAGTGGGCGTGGGTTTGGGTTACTAGTGGGCGTGGGTTTGGATTACTAGTGGGTGTGGGTTTGGCTTACTAGCGGGCGTGGGTTTCGGTTACTAGTAGACGTGGTTTTAAGGTGGCATTGGTTTCTGGTTAAGACCCCCGCCCACTAGTAACCCAAACCCACCCCCACTAGTAATCCAAGCCCACGCCCACTAGTAACCCAAACCCACCCCCACTAGTAACCCAAGCCCACGCCCACTAGTAACCCAAACCCACGCCGACTAGTATCCGGAACCCACGCCCACTAGTAACCCAAGCCCACGCCCACAAGTAACCCAAACCCACGCCCACTAGTATCCGGAACCCACGCCCACTAGTAACCCAAACCCACGCCCAAACCCACGCTCACGCCCACTAGTAACCCAAACCCACGCCCACTAGTAACCCAAACCACGCCCACTAGTAACCCAAACCACGCCCACTAGTAGCCTAAACCCCCGCCCAATGGTAACCCAAACCCACGCCCGCTAGTAACCCAAACCCACGCCCACTAGTAACCCAAACCCACATCCACTAGTAAGCCAAACCCAAACCCGCGCCCACTAGTAACGCAAACCCACGCCCACAAGTAACCGAAACCCATGCCCACTAGTAACCCAAACCCACGCCCACTAGTAACCTGAGCCCACACCCAATGGTAACCCAAACCCACGCTCGCTAGTAACCCAAACCCACGCCCACTAGTAACCCAAACCCACGCCCACTAGTAAACTAAACCCATGCCCACTAGTAACCCAAACCCACACAACCCAAGCCCACCGTGTGCGTGGCATTGGACAAAGACCACCCTAACTTTTGAAACATCATGTCTGGATCTTCAATAAACATTGACCACTTTACTAGTGGGCTTGGGTTACAGTCATGCTCTTTTTGAGTGTATATACTGTATACCGAATATGACACAACACACACACACACACACACACACGCACACAGAGAGAGAGAGAGAGAGAGAGAGAGAGAGAGAGAGAGAGAGAGAGAGAGAGAGAGAGAGAGAGA